TATTATTATCATTTATTGTTATAATTATAATAATTCTTATCAATATGAGTATTAAAAATATTATTATTATTAATACCAAAATTATTATTAGAAATAAAATCATTATTGATATTAAAATTGCTATTACTAAAATTATTATTAGTAGAAAAAAAACTATTACTATTAATATTAATTAATCATTATTACTACTAATACTGTTATTACTATCATATAAATACGGTGGCGTTATTATTGTCATTACGCACAAGTGAATATCATTACGTATAAATGGGATTAAAAAAATACTGCATACATCATAGGGGACATTAAATGACATTAAAAAAAGTATCGTGTCATCATATATGTCATACATATATAAATAAAAGATGAAAATAATAAAATAAAAGAATTTTAATAAATTAGCATACATACGTACGTTGCTACCTAAGTGCATTATTTAAACTTTTGAATTTTATTCATACACCTAAATATTTATTGACAAGTAATTGTTATACAGAATTTTTGAAATAATTTTTTTTTTAGAATTTTATTTCCACTTTTATTAATTTATTTCTAATTATTTGCCTAATTATTTCTTAGTTTTCCAATTAATTTTTTTCTTAAGAGTTTTATTCCTATTTCTGTTAATTTATTTCTAATTATTTGCCTAATTATTTCCTAGTTTCTTAGTTAATTTTTGTTATTTTTACTTTCAATTTGTTAATACCGACCGATTAGCTTCATTACGTAAATATGATGCATGATTGAGACGTATCCCAGGTCCATTATATTCTCGTAAATTACCCAATGAATAACTACGACGATGTATTCGTGGCAATAAATTCTCATGATTGCACTAAAAATTTAATATTTAATTATTTAAATATAAAAATTTTTTTTACAATGTTTAATGAATAATTAATAAATTAATGTAAATAATTATCATTTAATTTTAAATATTATTGAAAGCATATTCCATATGAAATGAATGAATAATTAAATTGTAATTATAATTAAATAATTAAATTGTTCATGTTTATCATTTCTTAATTTCATTCTATACCAAAATAATATAAGCCATTAATTCATTTAAAAAAAAAAAAAGAAAATGAAAATAAACAAACTTTATGATTATGTATTCGTTGATCAGTTTGAAAGCAAAATGGTGTCACAATAGTTACAGGACGATTTGCTGCTGCTTTTTCTAATTTATTTAATAATTGCTCATGTAATTTTTTGAAATTTGGTACCTAAAATTAATGAAAATCAAAAAAAAAATGCTATTACTGATAAGATACTGTTAAAGTGATATGGATTATTTGTGACCAAACATTATATTCTACAATAATTATTCCAATAAGATGACAAATAATTCTATTGGAGTTGATTGTAAGTGAGAATTAAAAAAGTAGGGTGAAGTAATTAATTAAAAATCCTTTTTAGAAATTAAATTTTAACCATAATTAATTTTTGAATTGATAAAATAGAATCAAAAATTCCTATAATTTTATTCATCTTTATCATTCACTATTACATTGCAATTCATTCTTACATTCAAATCAATTTAATCCAAAATTAAATTTTAATTGGTATAATCATCATTAAGTGTAATTTGAGTAAAAGAGTAAATAACAATTTTATCATATCAAAAAAAATAAATAAATAAATTTAAATTGTTAATATTGGTAATTAACAGTTCTCTTTTACAAACAATTTATTTAATTTTTGATAATGGTAATTAAAATGCAAAAAAATTTCATTTATTAAAAAATCGCAAATCTCCCTTTTAATTTTACTAATTTTACTAATTAATGAAATACAAAAAATTAACATACATTTCGTGAATAACAAATTTTACGCTTTGGTTCTTGATCTATGCAATATTTACCATGTCGAAGATGATATTGTATCTTTGACTGTATTGCATGTTTCTACAATTATAACTTTTCATTTAATTCAAATGTTACCGTTTAATTATTTATTCATTTCAAGTTTTCTATTAATTGAGTAATTTAATAATGATAGAAGATTTAAATTTATATTTTGCATTAAATGTTATAGTTTAGCAAGATTTTCAAATATTTATGATTATTTCAATTAAACATAAATATAATACTAAATTTTATCAGATTTTATGCATTAGTCAAATTTCATTTTTACTCTTTGGTCTTTGTTTCTGTTTGTTAATTATGAGAAATTAATTATTTATCAAAGACTGGAAAGACATTCATTATTTTCATTTTTTCCTTTTTTTTTTTGTTCGTCTTCCTCTTTACAATGCAATATACTATTTGCTAAATCCCTATTATAATTTATTAATCAATTTATTAAGTAAGAAAAAAAAATTAAAATTAAGCAAGAAAAAATGAAGTAAGAGAAAAAATTCAAAATTCAAAATCAAATTTTTCCATTCCTATTTATATTATTTCAGTGAATTAAATTTGATAAGCGTTAAGAAAAACTCAAAAGTCTGATAAGCACATTCTGATAGTAATGATAGCATTAGAGTAATAATGATAACAGTAAATTTTGAAACAAAAAAAAAAAACAAATCAAAACCGAAAAATGAATTGTAATTATGGATAAGAATGTAATTTTATCACTTTTTTTTTTTAATTCTATCAATTATCGTATTTTCTTAACAATACCATTAATTTGCATATAATTTTTCTCATCATTATAATTATTATTTGATTGACAAAGATTGCTAATTTTAATTATTTAATTAGTAACTATAGAAATAATAATTTCAAACTTTTTTTCCTTTTAAATTTTAGTTTATTGGTTATTTTCATTAAATAATTTATAAATTGTACGAAATATGATATTTTTAAAAATTAATAAACCTCAAGTCCTGGTGGTGCTCGACTTATTCGAATTAATTCAGCTGCTCGTTCCATTTTTCGACTTGCTCTTTTACGTGCTTCAATTTCATGCTTATATGGTGGTATATAAATGCTAATTGGGACATTCTTTGCTTTAAATGTTTCATGTTTATTCCAATCTGTTGCTTCAGCACTAATGCATCGTCGTAGATGAAAATTTTCCAATCCAAATTTTCCAGCCCATTGTGGCATTTGTACTTTTTTAACCATTTCCATTGCTTTTTGATGTCGTATTTGACGAGCCTAATTTTTAACAATTTTTATTTATTTATTTATTTTTTTTGAAAATCATATATATTGGGAATCATTATGTCACTATGATGATATCCACACCTTATGTCACTATGATGATATTCCACACAAAATTATTTATCCAATGAATTTTTCTTTTTTTTTTTGTCAAATTCATAGATATATATTGGGAATCACTATGTCACTATGATGATATTCCAAATATTATGTCACTATGATGATATCTACACAAAATTATTTATCCAATGAATTAATAAAAGGTTATAATTTATATTATTCATATTGAAATTGTCCTTATAATTCAATTATTCTAATTTGCATAATATATAATAAAGAATTAATTTGGGATCAAAGATTAAAGAGTTTGATTTAATATATATATATATATTAAAGATAAAATAAAACCTGTTCTTCTTTTTTCACATAATTGTTGATAACGTGGCTCATACGTTGATCGTGGTACTTCTCGTGCTCTATTCCTATAATTTAATTAGATATGCTTAGCTTATAATTTTTTAATGAATTTTTTATCCTTTGGCCAGATAGATAATTAATCTTTGGCTCTTTTGGCCCATTTATAATACAAGTATTTATGGGTATTATTTGGAAAAATTTTATAATTATTGCAAAAACTTTGAAAATATCTACCGAAGATGTGCTATTTTTTCCATTTCTTCCATTTCTTCAATCTTCTTCTTCTCTATTAATTCATTCATAAATCGCCATGAATATGATGCTCGAATTGATTTCGTATTATTTCTTAATATGCAAATTAACCAAAGTTTTGCCTGTCATTTACAAAAAATAATTGACATCCAATTAAAATTTCTTATAATTGACCGATGAAAATAAAATTTAAAATATATTTCAAAATGATTATTGATTAACTTTAATGAATAAATATATTTCAAAATGATTATTGATTAACTTTAATGAATATAGTATTGATTATGATTATTGATTACGATTACTGATTATTTTTAACAATTATACAATTATTTTTATAGATGGATCAATGAAAAATTTAGAAAATTTATACAATTTAAAGTCAAAAAAAAAGATTATTATTTTTGTTAAGTAAATAATTACTTGAAGTGTAATTTTTTGGTATTACTGTTACTATTAGTAATTTGTCGTGACCATCCTTCAGTATATTTACATCTTCCTTTGTCATATATCTTATGCTTTTGAGTTTCCATCAATGATTGCGCTGATCGTGAACGTTTGCGCTCATTATCTACAATGTAAGAAGAATTCTTCCCGTCATTAGCGCAAATAAAATTGCATGATAAAATTATAATTGTCAAATGATCGTAATATAGTATACGATAGTGAAAACAATACAATTGGATAAATATAAACTTGAAATGAATTTATATTCCAAATATAATTAAATATACAAAAATAAATACAAATATGTTGCATATTAATACATCTATATTTATATTTGCATTTGTATTCATAATTATATCTGTATTTATATTTGGTTTATATTTACGTTTAATATTTATATTTATATTTATATTTATA